GTTTCATGGGAGGGTATGTGCCTTTAACGCATCATTGTGCCTCAGTAGCTACAGCCTCACACAGCCACGACCCTTAGTCATGCTTGCTGCACCAGCATTGATATAGTGTGTAGTAGAACCCACGTGGTCTTCAGTCTGCTCTAATACACTCAATTATGTGAGTTGCATAAAAATTGAAATTGCTTATTGGGGTTTTAAACCACAGTAATTTGTGTAAACACTCACAAGCTGCAAAGAATAAATCATGTGTCCAACACTTGGGATATAAAGTGATTTTAAACTACTTGTTGCCCGCTGCAAGCTTTGTTGTTTCTGACATTTATCTCTCGGGAGAAGAGAAAGCTTCTGCAGTAGAAATAATATGTAAGACATCACATAAAAAGAGAGAGAGAGAGAGAGAGAGAGAGAACTGCGGCAACAAAGAGGAATAAGAGGCAGTTATAAAGAGAGTAAGATGTGGATTTACTGTTCGTGTCCACATGCGTCCTTATCGTGCTCCGCTGTCCATTTTGTAGTTATTAGACATCCCACTCCTGCTGACAACAATGGCACAGTTAAGGGTGAAATACAGACTGGCCCTCTCCAGCTGTCCTCCATAAACCTAATTTCCACAAACATCATCCAACAATATGTCCGTGGTGTGCACTGAAAACAGTGGTGTCGCTATGGAGAAAGAAGAGCCCACTGTGAGATCTGCTTCTTTACGCGCAGCTCGCCATGTTGAGGATTCACTGCAGCTTTCAGGGCTGGCAGGAGACTCGGATACGAATTATGATTTCTATTTGCACCGCTGGATATTTCTGTGACCTGAGTGCTTCCACATCCATTAATGGGCACCAACAGGACCACTTGACCTCAGGCTTGAGACAGCCTCCAGCTTAAACCAGCACAACTTGACATCAGTTCAGCCATGTTGCTTCTGGCTCCCCCGCCACATGAAAACTGTTTCAGGGTTGTATAGGTATTTCCAAGCAACAAGGTTGCCATGGCCACTAAAATCACTATGCTGCATGATAGGATGCTTTGGGACATTGTCTCCAGACATTGTGCCAGATAGGCAAAACACTGAAGCCAGAATGACAGCCGGCTGCAGAGTTAAAGCTTTCAGCGCCATAATTTCCCCTCAAACGGACAGAGAAACATGTCAGATTTCCAATCAACTGTAGCAGTTCTTCACCAGTAAGTGATGTACTCATAGAAGACCAAAAGAGGTTGTAAAAAATACTAATTGCTTTTAGTGCAATGATTGCTATATGATGAGGTCAGCAGGGACACTTGCTCCTCAGACTGTGGCTCAGAGGAATACGTCTTATGAGAGTCATTACATACTGTTTATGCCGCTAAACGTACTGAACAAAGATGTATTCACAGAGAGACAATGAGGCTGCCGTTAGAGGAGAATACAGTATCTGAATTCTTCAGGGAAACTGAAGGCTCAAGGCTTTCCTTTAGAGCTTGAGAAATATCCACCGCTTCTTCAGCTAGTAAACGATTTAACAGTTTGCGTTTGTTAAAAATATGTATTCAGACGAAGTTAATGGCTGTTTTTTTATAACACATGAAGAGCAGACATATTGGATATACCGTATGTGGTTTTTTCAAGTTGTTGTTGTTGTTGTTGTTGTTGTTGTTGTTGTCTTTGGGCGGCTCCTGTGAAGAGTCGCCACAGTGGATCACCATGCACATATTTGATTTGGCATAGGTTTTTAAGCCGGATGCACCCTGGGTTTGGTGAAGCTGGGGAAGCAGGAATCACTGGCCCACATGCTCCAGCACCTGAGACATGACCCCCCCCCACCCCCACCCCCATATGTGGTTTTCTCAAGGATTATCATATATTATTTCAAAATGCTTCCCTAGCCTGCTGATCACACTGAATTTCCATTTAAATCCATTTTGTTATTCAGTCTTCAGTTAGTTAGATTTGTAGGAACTTTATTGTCCACATTGTTGGAAATTGTCTTTGGCTTCACCACATAGAATTAAAACTAAAAAGGGACGATGAGAACAGGTGGCAGGGACACAGTATCCACAAATAACAATGATTTGAAATGTAAAATTACAGAAAAACTAAGACTCAGAGAAAATCAAATCAAATGGGAGAAGGGCTCAATTTAAGTCATTTTCAGTCGGCAGTGGGTGCAGGTAATGTTTTTCACATCAGCTGAAGAAATAAGCCAATTTACAGGACGTTATTTCTGTAATTCAACTTATAACAAACTATACAGGTGTGTCAATTGCATCCACGGTTGTTGCCATTTCTCCTGCTGTGGCACAGAACGTTCTGATTGGCTTTTGTTGCTTTTCTAACAGTCCACAGCAATGTCCGGCCTCACGATGCCTTACATAGAAATGATGCCAATGAGCCACAGTGACATCTGGGGAAAAAAGAGAACATCAGTGTTAAAACAGGAATTATTATTGACAGAAACACTGACTTGAAATGGCATCAGGAGAGAAAAAGTCAGTTTGGTGCATCGCTTTTTTTACATTTTTCAATTGTCAAGGTGATTTGAAAATATATACATTTGAAAAAAAAAAATGGCTGCATTGCCTTTATCCATCTGACTAATCCCCTGATTCGGTTCCATGCCTCCCTCACATCCACACACTCTGCTTTTCATTATGGAGATGACCTTCAGCCATAGAGTCATACTTTGGCAGACAGTCCTTTTCTGCAGCCACTATCAGTATGCACCACATTGATCTTCAAATGCAATCAAGAACCGCGTATGTGGAAGAGAATTAAATTACAAAATGCAGCGTAAACACCTGTAAAAATCCATGAAGGATGGCAGACATCATATAGAAAAGCCTGAGAGGGCAGTGCGTTCAGCTTTCTATAGAATTATTAATCAATAGATTTGTCTAAAACTGCTGGTTATGGCAGCATGTGTTTAGTGTTAGTACAACATATTGCACCAGAGGCTGCTACAATATTATCACCTTGCTTGTAATGTCATTAAATCAAAAGCCATCAGGCACCGTGTCTGTGTTTTCTCCAGTCCTCAATCAGGGAGACAGATTCCCTTCAGCCGCTCTTGTGCTGCAAGGACAGTCTGTTATATCATGTCTATTGTACAGGCACTTGTTGAATAGTGAGAAGAATCAAGGCTCCTTCATAAAGGAGTCCTTTATGCACTGAAGATCATGAGCACACCTCTGACTCCACCTGCTGGTTGAACCCACGTCACCCTCTAATTTAACTGAGTGAGAAAACATTTATCAGCCTGTATTTTTTTAATTTTTTTATAAACAACAGGTGATTATTCTACAGTGGGCTGAAAATGAAGCTATGAAAAGGGCTTTTAATTGGCACTCTCCCATCCAGCACACCCACCCATAACACTGACCACTTTATTGTAGCTCAGCCTGCTCTTTTACAAACTGCCCTCACTTACCTCACCACTTAGTTTCATCTCTTGTTCTCACTGGGGCTATAAATACTGTAACAGCTGCCAATTCCTGATAATTTAATAAGTTTACTTATTATATGTAATTTGCACAGTCAGTCTGTTCAGTTTCACAGTTATAAGCCTTATGGTCTCCAATAATCCTGTCCTGTATTCATTATAAACAGTTTACTGTCTAGTTTGTCTGTTGCGCAACAAAGAAATAAGATTAGATATGATTTTTTCTTATTCCCAGGGGGTCGATTAGGTGTCACAGCAGCACAAGAACCAGATCAGCTACAGTTACAAAAAAAGATAAAATATTATACAAAATAAAAAATGATATGTCACAATTCTGTATATGGATGGAATGACAAATAACAATTACACAATGTGTAAATATTACAAGTTAAAGCACACAAGTATTGTCATGAAAATGTTCTTTTTTCAGTTGGTTCACAGATGAGGTGAATCCAGGTAAAATCCATTATCTCTTGTTCAGAAATAGAAATTAAATCAAACCATCAAATGCAAATGAAGAAATGTGGAGAAGAGAAGCTGAAGTGCTACTAAAAAAAAAAAAACATTTAAAAGCACTGAGACAATTTAGATATCTCTTAACAGACATATTCTGTGTAACAAGGAGATTTTTCACCTCATTACTGTCAGACATTTTAATCACAACACGGTCTTTTTACTACTGCCATCAGATGTCTAGCAGACAGTGTCAGATAAAGTCGATAAACTGCATCATCGAGGCTGTTTACTGCTATAAAGCTGATTTCAGGCTCTGCAGGTGAGATTGATGAACATGCTGGCGTTACCTTCAATTATCCTCGTAATCTTCAGCGTTTCACGACTTTTAGGCCAAATAGTTTCAGTGAGAAAAGTTTTGGTTGTTGTCAGTGGTTGTTTAATATTTTGTGAAGCAGGAGAATATGAGGGGTTTAAGTGCACTGTGGTGTAACTATGATATTAGTGTACGCGGGTAATAACTGCCAAGTATCTCTCTTCGCAGAGGTTTAGTGGCTTTCTTTGAGGACAAGCTACGAATGTATTTGAACGCATGCGCAGCGTTAAGCTAAAAGAATAACAAATGTCGTTTCCGGCGAAAACTTTCAAAATACAGTACATATTAGTACTCTAGCGTTATATTTCATTCGGTTAATGTGATAGTAAATGAAAGAATGATTTGTCCGGTAGGGAATGCAAAAAAAAACAAAAACAAAAAAACTATTACATTGTACTTTATTCAAGTTTTTTGATTTTGCATGCATGCATGCCTTGAAACACAACTACACCTACATATAACTACATTTACATTAAAGTAGAAGAGTAGGAATCTGGAAGCTTATACAAAGACCGCTCTCGTATGGCTCGATAAACCGGATTACATTTATTATAAATAATGAGCGCTTGAGTTGCATTAACTAAAAAAACAAACAAAGATCTTTTGTTTTCAACTGATAACGTTTACGCTTTTATTTTGAAGCCTACATCGTGGGACTTCCTGTAAGCGTGCTCGCTGCCTCTTTAGCTTGACGCCGCTCTCTGGGGCTTTTTTAGTTGGGATGAAAAACTTCAGTTCACGGAGAAATTCAATGGGAAGGTGAACGCTGACCATGAAGCCCCGCTGAAAACTGCTCAAAGTGTTTGGAGTAAAGCCTGTTGGAGACTGTGAGATCCCCTCGGTCACATTTCTGGGTCGAAAACTGTAAGTTTACCGAAATTTCAGTGAACTTTTCGTTGCTTTCAGACCACAGCTAGCGTTAGTTTTAACGGTTTGTTTATCCAACTAGCTTCCTTAACTTAAAAGTGTTTAAGACAGCAAAAACTAAATATAAAGTGTTATATTTTGTGTTAGCTAGCGTACTAACAGAGAGTTTAGCTCCTTACCTTTTGTTAACATTTTTTGAGTTTGAAAGATATCACTTATTTCAATGGGTGTTTACAATAGTGGTTTAAATTATTTTATTTTCTTGCAAATTCACACAGCTAATATCTTTTGCACTTGTAGCGTTGCTGTGATATTTCATTATTTTTTTATGGTTTAGTTTATGGCAAAATCACTAACTTGTACAACTCAACAAAGGCAGATAGCAGCATCACTCCTGCTTAGATTTCATATGAACAAAAGATGTACATGTAAAACAATTAATTGATATGAAATATCATCCATATAGAAGGGATAAGGAAAAAAAATGTTATGAGAAAAAGTCTTGTTTTTTTTTCAAATTTGGTTCTTTTATTTTAGTGAATTGGGTTTGCGTTGTTTTGTATGTGAAGACCTTTTTCTAATTAAACCAGAGTTGATTTATGCATCACATGTCTATTAATGTAGAAGCCAAATTCTGAATCATTGTGGTGAGCCTCCAGTCAGACTTAGTTTGGCTCCCACCAAGAGTTACTGTAAAAAAGACAGTAGCAGTCAGCACAAAGCCAGCAGTTTAAAGCTGCTTCTGGTCCCGTGTCAGCTTCTTTCATTATCAGCCTCAGACTTCTGCAGCCTTTTGTTTGGGTAAACCTCTGTAGAATACAGTTTGTTCAGGAAAAAAAATGTTCCTCCTGAGGCGCTGCATGACCTGTTGGCAGCCCTCCACTCTGCATACATCTGATGATGATGTCTTGGCTTCCAGGCAGAGAGCTGAAAGCATAACAAAGGATTTTATTTCCCACTCTGACAATAACTATATTTGTATCCCGCGCCACACTCGCACAGCTAATGGTCAACAGCTCAGGAAATCCATGCTGTTGCACACTTGCTTTCACAGTCATATCTGATGTTACAGTGGGAGAACTGGCATAATAAAACACTTTTCACATTGCTCTGGGATTGTTTAAGAGACACAAATAAATAAATCTAATCTCCTGGCAGCAATCATCTTGTTTCCTCAGGCAGCAGGCCTTTGTTTGCTGCTCAGTCAGGTAAAGACAAAGACAAAGTCCATCAGCCCTGGTTTGTATTAGCAGCACACTGGGCCTGCTGTAAGATCAACATGCAATGGATGCCAGAAGGGTTTCTAGTTTAAAATCTTTATTTTTCTTGACACCATGTGTCCAGAAAATTGATGGGGCTTTTCTGTCTCAGGCACCTTTTTTCTTGACATTTGCATTCCTTGCATTCTTGGTACAGTGCTCTTGTGGTGCTGTATTTTGAAAGAAGGGAGGTGTCACTTTTAAGTCGCATGATATATTGGGATGTTTACAAACATCTGAAATTAAATTAAAATCTTAACTTAATCCGAAACATTTGTTCTGCTGGAAGATAATTAAAGGCCATGTTTTATATGTGAGCTGTATAAATTCCTCCTTAACTTGAGGAAAGTTGATACTCCAGCATACTCTGTGATGTGATGAAAGTTGTACAGTGGCTTTTGGAGTTGCAGCTTTTAGTATTGTTAGTGCAGACAGTATTGGGATTACTGGGAAATGGCAGTTTCTGAGTAAGAGGAAGACATTTCTCCAGAATGCGCCAGGAAACGCTTCCTGACAGGGCCGAGTCAAGGTCTTCCTGAGTGTGGGGATACCTCTGTTTCACCCTGTTTATGGTTTCAGCTCATTCATCATAGGGATTCACATAGAACTCATTTGACTTTGCAGTATTTTACTTAACGTCTGAGTTTCTGAAATTATGCCTTTTTTAATATGCCCAAGAATCCATACTTAGAAAGGCTGCCTTTGTGCTAAACCTTGATAACAAAAGAAAAGGGAGGCAGTTTTTGTTGGCTTTCTTAGCTCTCTTACTCAGTTACTCCAGCCCCTTTCCACCATCCTCTTTAGTTTTTCCCCCTCCAATGTGATTTCTGACTATGATGTAGTCAGGGCCACGTGGAAAATCTGCAATAACTTGGGATCAGTGTCGCGGTGCTACCATGTGAGTCTCTGAAAGACAAAGACCTGTTTGTGCAGTGTCTCAATGTGGCCACCGCTGCTGCAGTGAGAAATAAAGCACTAGTTTAAAGCCTGGGCTGCTGTTTCTGTCAAACAGTCTGACCTCACAGCAGCCCAGACTAAAAGTCCACTGGACCATCTCTCAGGGGGAAATGTAAACAAAGGCAGGGACTGATGCAGGGACTTGACTGGAGGTTGGATTTCACGTGGGGCTGACTTCCACAAGTCCATGTCACACTTCATGTCCACAGTACTGCTGTGACTATTACTGCTGCACTGAAACTATTGGAGGTTAGAGCGGAAACAACTTGTCAATTAATCAGTTCATTTTGATTACTGATTCACCTGCTTTCAGCTTCTAATATGTAAAGATTTTTTACTTTTAATGCTCTTAAATAATAGTAAATGAAATAGTTTGGAGTTTTGGTGAGACAAAAACTGCTCCTGATACAATTACTACAGTGACTACCACAACTACTTCTTCTCATTGTACTGTACTGTACTGTACAATTAAGGTTTATTTATTTGTAAATTTTCCTTGAGATCAAAATATCTCTTGGAAGAAGCATCCTAGTGAATTGTTATTGTATTGCTGTAGCTTCAACAAAATATGGCTCTTAGCTTAGGGTTATAATTAAAAACACCTGTGTGCTGAGGGCTTCTGGGTGCTTTAATGAAATCTGACTTTCTCATATTTCTCTTGATATTAAGTTTGATAGCTGTCTTGAGGGAAAAAATCAAATGGCTTTTTAATCAAATGCCACTGGAGGACAGTGGTTTAAGACTTGAGGCAGCAAAACATAAGCACACAGTATATCTAACCCAACAGAATAAGATACTGTATTCTGTATTGAATAAGCTTCTCTTTTTGAATGAGAAACAGCTCTGTATAAGAATTAATATTCAGTTTTTAGGTGATGATCGAGGTGTTCATTGTGAATTTTGTAGGCCACTCTGCTGATAAATAATCTGCTCTCAACCAGGCTGTTTAAAATAGATTATTAGACTGTGGTAGGTCAGTTAAGTCACCACTGAGGGCATGGATAGACAAGTGAGACAAGTTTTGAGCTGTTTTAAAGAGGGAAGACTTTGACATGGGTCAGGAATGATTTGTAGAGCTGCAACGATCTGCCAATGAATCAATTAGTTGAGTGAATTTTTTTTTAATCCATTTTCATAATCAATTAAGTGTAAGTAATTTTTAAAGCATGAATGGAAAACTTATAACTCATAACTCAAACTCATAATTCCAGGTTCTCCGATATGAGAATTTGCTGTCTTCCTCGGTTATATTAAAATTTAATATTTTTGCATTCAGAAAAAACAAGACATTTAATGACAGAAAGTCTCCTGATATTTTCTAAACTATCAATCAGTTATTTTGGATAATTAAAATAATAATCAGAAAATTGCTTGCACTGTTGGTATTTTATATGTACCATCAACTTTGCAAAGTGAGACTTGAAAACAGATATTTTATTCATGTAAAGTAAATAGCAAGGGACCCAGTGTAGATCCCTGTGGGACACCTTTATTAACTATTTAATTTAGAACAATTTGACCAGAAATTTATCAGTTGAATAAGCATAATAATCCAGACCAGTGAAAAGCAATTTATTTAAAAACTGTTGTGGTTGACAGCACAGTATTTAAAGTCTCAGACAGATTCACAAAGGGTACACTATATCGTTCACATCAGAATGATGAAATGACCAAGTCTAAAAGCTTCTTGCTACTACTGATTGTGTTACTGTAGCCGACTACAACTAATGCTACTGTTATTACTACGCTGAGCCAGTTCGGGTCTGAAATGCACATCTGTACCACAGCTGGAGCCCAACTGTTTTGAGGAACCAGCGGAGGCATATGTTTCAGAGGCTGACCACTCAGTACAGGGTCAAGTAATCCCACCCTATTTTCTGGTCAACTGCATTGTTCTTCCCCCTCCATATTGTTGCCATATCATATCCTCTCCATCTGGTAAATGTTAAAACCACCTCATAGCATTAGAGAAGTCACATTTGACCACCATGCAGATTCATCTTTCAATGAAACAAACTTGGAAATATTACAGAGCCATAAGTGAACTGCGCTTTTAATGTGGTTTTCTGCTATTAGCCTGCTGGTTAGAGCACCAAGCCTCAAAGAAAGTGCATTCACAATGTGGAATGATTATCTTTATTCAACACAGCCTTTTATTCATGTCCTTGTAATAAAAACATTTAAATTTGGAGTTTTAAGACTTTGAGTGAAATGTACAACTCCTTCATAGGATTAGTTAAAGGATAAGGCTGATTTTATTAAATTTTCTCTTAGAGTCAACATCTCTTTAAACAACCAAAATCAACAGTGCATTAAGGGGCCAGTATGCTTCTTCAGAGGTGCTTGTCGGATGGTTGAATAACTGCAGAAACCTCCTCCACCTACACCCGTCTGACTTTGGATTGCAGAGGCTGTGTCTGACCCCAATCTGACATTCACACCCACTTTATGCAGTGATTGGCCAGCTGTGCAGAGGTGAGGATGGAGCCAGGGTTTTAACTTCTCTCTCAGCTCTTTTGTTCATTGTCGGCACAACTGTTGTACTATATATCTGTCATGTGAAAAACCAAGTACAACTAAGTACTTTTTGGCTTGACTTGTGTATTTATTTCTACACAAAACAGTTTTTTTTTCATAGTTCAAACTGGTGTAAATTGTGCAGTTGTTGCGGACTATTTTCAGCTGCGGATAAATACACAATTATTGCTTTATTGAGTATTTCGGGCAGCAGGACAGTGTACGTGGAATTGACTTGGAATAAACTGCAGTGTATGTGTTTATGGTAACGAAGGAAGATGCCGCCCAGTGTAACAGTGTGACTTATTTATGTGTTTTTCATAGTTTTTGAGCTCCATGGCACAGAGTAATAAGATATCTCAGGCTTTGGATACAAAGTTAATCGTTAATATGTTCAACTTATCATTTGTTTTGGTCTTCTCAGGGTATGTGTTGGCAATTAGAAAAATACCAACAGCCTGATGTCTTAGTTTTTTACTGAATAAAGTCCTCATGGGATTTAGTGTGAAGGTTGGGGGGAGGAGGGGTCGCAGAGGTCGGTGGGGATGTCAGTACCAGGCATTAGTGTTTTGGTTTTTGGGAGAACTTACGCTCCTCAGGAATGTGTGTAGTGCTCACTCCTACACTGTGGCATTATCAATCATCATTACTTCACGCAGACACTTCTTCACATGGCTGGAGAGGTAGACCCCTGTCTGTGGGCTTTTCTCTCGAGGTTTTGGTCAGAAAGTTTTTTTTTTTTTTTTGTTTTTTTTTTATGGATGACCTGCTCATCACTGATGCGAAAAGAAGTGGAAAATGTCTCGGCCTGGCATTTTAAAGGGTCTGGTTGTTATGAGTCTGAAGAAGAGAAGAGACTAGTTTACGTGGCAAGTTTCAATGCCATTTTCTTCCGCATGACCAACACAAGAGTTTTTATTATATTAACTATTAAGAAGATTGAGAATTCTCATGAGACTCATAATACCAGATTTGATGTGGCTTTTTATCCCAAGAAAGCAGAGAAATGAGGATGACAGCCTCTACTATGCCAACACACTGATCTGTTGTATCTTAAAATGTTCAGATTCATCTGTACACCCGTGATAGTTGAATTGAGCATATGATGGCACACGCTGGTTTTCCTCTCTTTTCCTCCTCTCCTCATTTGTTGTTTTCAGTATTCACATGGAGCTAGAAAGTATTTAGATTCACAACAAAAAAGAAGAATGTGGACAAGCTTTGGGTTTCTCCCACGGGGTGAAACAAGCAGCTGACAAAATACAGCTTCCACCCTGGTGAAGGGTGAGTGATGGTTTTCCATCATTCCCCGGAAATACCTGCGGAGTAAAATGTATTAGTAGTAAGAAGTGTATCGGTGGCACTCCTCCAACCTCAATCCCCATGGGAACTGTAAAAGTTAATTAGAAAGCAGGTTGTTTTATTTTGAAATCTGAGGTATTTTCTGGCATGCTTATTACCCAAAGTCCTGTTTTGTCTTGCTTTAAATCACGTGAAATGTGTGCAGATACATCACCAGCGGTCCGTTCATATCAATCTTAATGGAGCAGTACAAATATACAGCAGTGTGCATGATGTTTTGGAAGAAACGTACTCCCCTTTCTGTGGCGTATAGAGTTGAATTTAGTCAATGGAGCAGTTAAAGGCCCCCTGTGTTAACAGGAGACTCCAGCCCCCAGCTCATTTAGACGCCATTGGTTTAATTATGCTCTTAATGCCCATTTTTTACCCTGCTAGGTGTGACACTATGACCCCAGAGAGGGAGGAAATGAAGTAAAGCCTGCTGCCCCTGCCCCCCTACCAAGGGACGCCTGAACAAGTAGAGCCACTGTTTTTATGTTGTTAGTTCTGGGCTTTAGCTGTTCTTTCCACAACCTGTATACGGTCTCAACCCCCTCAAATCAGATTTTGTTTGAAGTGATAAGTGTTCAGTGTAAGCAAAGGAGAGACATGTGATAAGTGTTTGAATACAGCGGTCATGGGGATACTGTCCAACTTTGTTGTGGAAGTTTGAGATGCCGAGCATGCCAATGCTACGAGGCCTGAGACCCCTGGGAGAATAGTGCCATTATTCCAGATAGGGGCCTGCCCATAAGCACCCGTGACTGCTCAGCCGCCGGAAATAAGGCCTGCTGGGTAATAAGACCAGGAGATCACTTTGTTTTTTGTCTCTCAAGCAGCCAGTTTTTTTTGTGGCACTAACTGCAGGGTTAATTTGATGCAGCAGCAGTCAATTGAAAAGGAAGAATGAGAGCTTGTACCATAACAGGATTAGTGATAACACAGTTATATTATTTTCAAATGGAAATGTAAAAACATACAAACAGGCTTTGTAGTTTGAAACTGATGCGTGTTTAGGGAGCAGAGTAATCCCCTGAATAATAAATATAATAGGGATTAGAGTGGAGACTAACAATTAATGTCATTATTGACAGTGATGTCTTTAAATTGCTTGTTTTTCCAGACTGACGGTCTGAAACCCAGGAGTCCAAAACGCTACAATAAATAAAATAATGAAATCTTCATAATTAAGCTAAAATTAAGGAATGTTTGCTTGAGAAATGATTGACTATCAAAGTAGTTGTCGCCTATTTTTCTGTGACTAACCAATAAATTCACCTAACCATTTCAGCTCCAAGGTGTTCTCCAGGGATTTGGATTTGTTAACTTGCTTAACGGAGCGACTTGTAGGTTTTGCTGTCGCCACATAGCCAACGTTAGCATTAACAGTCTGCCCCGAAGGAGCAGCGCTACTCAGATGACTTGAAGAACAGTTTGAATAAATATGAAAATGACCTGACCTGTGAATGGATGCTGTCATTATTAGCAGCTAAATATCCATCTAATCACTTCTATGTCGACTGTAACCTTTTATATGTAAGTGTCAGTAAATTTGTCGCATTTCAGCTTAATAAAGTTTGAAGTGGATTTTGACTGAGTTGAGGTTTACGTCAGTGAGCTGTTGTGGTCTTTGGTTTTGTTTAATTTAATTGAAAATAATCTCACCACATGGTCTATTTAGTAGCTATTCTTGAGCTTTTGATCCTATCGCATGATCTTATTTACTAGATAGAGTTTACCCAGTTGCCATGAAAACGTACTGTAGCTTTCCACGTTTTTCCAATTGAGATAATTTTTTTAATTTATTTTTTATTTACAATACTTGGAAGATGGTCACTCTTCTGTTCAGGTTTGAATTCAACATTCGGACTTATATTATTAATAATGTTGATTATTTTATAAGCTGTGTAGCTCCGATAAACACACATGTAAGGTGATTCTGTTAACTGGGGAAAAAAGCACATCACAAATTTAAAACTTGTCTTGCTGCTGCAGACATCCATTAGCTGGCTAGTGTAAATTTTGGGACTCCCCTGTCTGTACAATGGCTGGATTTTAAGAGGCCTCTGTTATTCTTTAACACATTTGTTTTGGCAGAGCTGTTTATGGATCTTTCTCTTTTTGCTCCCTCTCTCATCCTTTCCCCTGAAAACTTCTGAAACTAAAAATTTGTCTCCTTTTCTTTCACAGATTCATTGAACAGAAGATGATGTCTGACGCCAGCGAGATGTTGGCAGCAGCCTTGGAGCAAATGGATGGGATCATAGCAGGTAACCACATTCTACACTTGGACTTTTAAGACCTGGCCACAGCGCTTTAGGTAGGCATGGCATACTATGGGGTCTAGCCACATCTGGAAGCTATTAAATTGCAAGCTGGGAACACTACATCCAGTGGACGGTAACACAATATGTTCTTCTCTTTCCACTCCTACCTGCAATTTAATGTAATCCTCCTGAATATACATAAAAGTTTGGAATAAAGCTGGAATTGTGCTCCGAGATCAGTGACTCTTTCTGCCTCCACTGGATTGTTCCACCATGAGAAATGAAAGTTTCCATTGTCCCCGCAGTGACGGAAACTAATGATTATTCAAGCTCTGTGAGTTTGGAAGACCAACTCCTGCTCGGGAACTTTTGGCCACACGCTGTATACTTGTGCCGCTGCAAATGAGCAGAGCAGGCTTCAGTTTCAGAGTCCCTACTTTTCCGCTGATGTGTGTAATTATAGCGCTGACCTTTCCAATGGGAGCGAGGCAGCTGATCACATGACATCCCCCAGTCCCCCCTTGTTTCCACAGAAACCACAGCCGTCATCAAGTCCCACTCCCTTGCTACTGTGCGGAAGCCATGATTGTTTGGGTATTTATTTATTCAGCTCTCTTTTTGTTACCACTGGACATCTTCATCATGGCTGACATTTAAGACAGAGGACAGATGGTGTGGAGCAGGCTGAAGCGCACGATGGGAACATGATGCACTCGAGCTCATTCAACATGCTGCTGCATTGGCTTCCAAGAAAAATTGGAGAATGTGTTCCCAATACATATGGGAGGACATTTAATTGTCATCATTTGATTATACTGTGTCACATGATGCTTGATAAAACTGCTCTAAACGTGTGCCTGCCCATTATGGTTGCAGTAGTGTGTGTTTGTGATAATGCAGGGGTGCTGAGAATACCAATAAGGACCTAAATATAGTTGTTAGACTGTGATTTTGCTGGATTGTTTGCATGAGTAGGAGTAAAATTACTGCTCAAATCAGCTGAGGGTAAAACATTCTGAGTTAATTGAAGAAACAAAATGTTCTTAGAGGGTCCAAAGTGGTTCTTTAATAGATATTTAATTTATTAATGGGATAAAGAAAAGTAGTTATCAAGCAGCTACAATGCTCGTGCTTCAGTTTACCCATGAAGGTTTTATGCAACATATTTAGTTTGTTCAGAATTGAAAAGAAGGACGTGTGATTAGGTGTGTTAAAATTCACAGGCTTTCTTTCCCTTTTGCCCTTTTTCACATATGTAAATCATAAATTTAGCTTATTGATTTATATCAAATGTGATTTTCCATGAACAAAACCACAGGAAGCATGTGGAAAGGAGGGGTGACGTTCCCCCGCCTCATGCTGTGGTTACGCTGTAGACCACTGGCTTACCATGATGTGCCCCTAATTTGATTTTAACATGACCATAACCATATAGAGCATATTGTATGTGAAGTTACTAACCTCTGAAAACGCTCAGATCAAAAGTATGCAAACAATCTACTTACAGTAATTACAGTGAGGCAGGCACTGAACTCTGAAATAAACTGCACTTGGCATATTCTCACATAGAGACTGAGTAATGCAGCTAAAAACAATCACACTGTCATGCCAGGATCCAGATGTATAAACCGTGCATACACCTTTTCAACGCACATACTGTAAACTGGTGTATATAAAACAGAATGAGCCTGTGTCACGCACTCATGTGTATATGTACAGTTTTCTAGAGTAAACCACAGGTGATATAAGTTAGAGTTGAAAAATAGGGTGAGAGATGAAATCTAAATAATAAAACATTTAGCTGTTTGGCCAATTATATGATAGTATAGGTGCTATAAATGGCCAGAGCCAGAGTCCAGTGATGGCTGAAATAGCAATAATTCTTCTGCAGTTCTTTTCATCAATAAATGCATGCAAACACTTAATTAAGGGCGTGCCTGTGTCCAGCTGTGGTAGTGGAAATCAGGCTTGTGCATATGCAATTACTTTCACAATGACTGGGATTTGTAAAACAAAACTTCTATAATAATAATATATGCAAATGCATATTTCTGTCTCTGTGTATACTCATTTTTAGTCGTGATCCTACAGAGTTTTATGTATTTGGCCCCTGGTCTGCTCACACCCAGGATGTGGAAAGAGTTCAGAAAAAAAGATGTAAACATACAGTTACAACAAAACTAAAAGTTTTGCCTTGTTATTGTGCTTCTACCACACCCACAGATAAACCACAAGTAGCTGTGGTCATAAATCCTTCTTTTTAAGCAAGCCAACACATTAGATTCTCATTTTCAGTTTCATACCAGCCTAATGACTTTTGAGTAATTTCACAGCTTAACTTTTTAAGTCACTGCCTCACATCTCTTCCTCTCTGCTTCCCCAGGCTCCAAGGCCATGGACTACTCCAATGGGCTTTTTGACTGCCAGTCGCCCACTTCACCTTTCCTGGGGGGCCTCCGAGTGTTGCATCTACTTGAGGACCTGCGGGCAGCGCTGGAGCTGATGGACAATGAGGAGAGGGACAACCTGCGATGTCAGATCCCTGATTCCACTGCAGAGGGGCTGGCAGAGTGGCTGCACGGACGAATGGTAAAAAGGCCATCTATGAAGTGCTATTCAACCTTCCGTGTGTTGTGACCGGTAATTCAGACACTTCTCAGATATAAATGTTTATCTCTTTCAACTGGCAAGATCACAAATCTGATGGCCATCTGTCCTGGATTTCCTGGGCTAGAGGGTCGTGGTAATGCACCGGAAGCTGTTTGGTAACTGCTGAAAATACCAGATGAAGAATAACTTCTGCATGTCAGCAGTTTAGTTACAGTAACAGTTAAGCTAGCTTGCCGAGAACTAAAACAAACACATGGATGAATTATAATTAAGTAAAACAAGGCAATGATAATTTACATATGAAGGTTTTACCTCTCATTTAAATAAATCAAATAAATATATTTATCTTTTAAGGAAATTTCAAAACAATCTGGAAAACATTTAAAGGATTGTATAAAACAAATATACAACTTGTATAACATGTATACAAGTTATGTATCTTATGGACTACGGGCACTCCGTATACTTCGCTCTCTCACGCGCACAGATCATTCAGTGATTGAACTGATTGGGGATCAGTTAAATGAATTGAAGAGTAAAGATGAAAATTGCATCTTGAAGAGACAGATGCATTTGGACCGTTTTAAACATCTGGACAGTCTGCATGTTAAGCAGCCTCCTGAGGTTGTTTGAGTTATCAGATTTCAGTCCATCTCCAGCGTCTCTCGGGTGCTTTTACACTTGGCTTTTTTAAGATCAGATGGCTGTCTGACCTGGCCAAGACAAAAACGGGGAACTGATCCTTCCTGTCATTGACGAGACAGAGAAAACATCATCATGAATCTTATAACCAAAATTTATTTGTGTACAGAGATTAAAAAAATAAAAAAATAAATTTTTACCCATTTTTCTTTATATAATGATCAGTGTCTTTGTACAGTGCAGTTTTAAGACGGCACCTGGTATGAATTACACTCTGATCTGCTTTGCATTTCTTGATCCTGCTCCATTGCCTATACCGTGACTCTTGACTCTGTTTATTGTAGAACTGCTGCTATGACATGCTTTGTGAATGATGGAGTTTCTATAGAAGTCCTGCTGCAAATAGTTTCCATCTTTCAAACACGTTGACTCAGAGTGAGGCTCTTGTTTTTCTTCCCTCACGGCTTCGTCTCTCCATGTGTGATATTTGAGCGAGGAGTTTGCTTTTCATTCAATGTTCAAATAACTTGCATGTGAGAGCAAAACTGACCCTCAGGTTTCTCTGGAAAACTCAACTCGCATATTTGTTGTTTTCTTGAAGGGAATACCACGCGAGTCCATTGTCAGAGAGGTTATTTGGTTATACACATAAGTGGTGTGCACCCATTAGAAAATCCGTGCGGCTCAAGGCTGATGTGTATTTTCATGCAGCCTCCTCAGCCAGACCCGTAATTCAACATGACAGCTGGAGGCCTTCCCCCTTTTATTTTATTTTTTTTTCACGAGCTCAGTTTAAAGCTTTATTCAACTGATGCAGTAAGTGCAGCTATTTGCTCAGACAACACAAATCAGTGTGTATTGTTTCTCACTTCAGACTAATGGGCACGGCTCAGAAGCAGTTTACCAAGAACGCCTGTCACGACTGGAGAGCGACAAAGAGTGTCTCATTCTTCAGGTATGGACGCAAAACCCATCATCAGACGGCAAAACAATTGCATCTGGATGAGCAATTAAGTATGAACTAAGCAGTACTGTCTTTGGTTCCTCTTGTGTCGTTAGCTCTACCAGAGAGGTTATGTGTACAGTCCTGATTATTTGTCTGATGGTTGGCAGAATATTTTAAAAACTACTCAACAGAACAAATTTGTTAGAAAATTTGAAAAAGGAACAAATGGTTATAGTGTTTTATTGCAGTGATATGTGAATGTACCCCTTAATAAAGAGCTTTGTTTATCCTCATAACTTTTAACTAAGATGCAAAGATGCAAAGATGCAAATTGTTTTCCTGGTTTCCATCTATCAGTATAATTTCTTTTGTTTAGAGTCTTGACACTTTAACAGTAAAAAATATCAGCTTATCTGATTATTATCATGATGTGGTCTTAAACCAGTGGGAACACAGACAAAATATAAAAAATACAGAACTCTCTCTTTTGAAAGGGAGAAAACTGTGTTCATGCAGGTGTGTTCATCGCTCATAGTTAGAAGCAGATTGAGAAACTGAAATATTAATTAACATAAGATGTGTCATCACCGCCCAGGTAAGTGTTCTAACAGACCAGGTGGAGGTGCAAGGTGAAAAGATTCGGGACCTCGACACTTGCCTCGAGCATCATCGGGAGAAACTAAATGCTACTGAGGAGCTGCTTCAACAGGTAACGCCTCCATAAAGTGACCTTACCTCAACAATCAACACTTAGTAATCTCAACCTTATTAAAATTTTAGTGCAGCGTTACAAAGTGTGCGTCTTGGTCCACAGGAGCTGTTGAACCGGTCGGCACTGGAGACCCAGAAGCTGGAGCTGATGACCGAGGTGTCAAGTCTGAAGCTGAAGCTGACGGCTGTGGAGAGGGATCACAGGGACAATGAGGTAGACGTCCTTCACATGTAGAGCGTCCGAGGCTGTGAAACGGAGCAGAGATAATGAAGTTCTCAGCTGCACCTGTAACGTGTTCTATGTGATGTGTGACTCTGAATCCTGGCAGCCGCCCAGTCATTGTTTTTAAAGTCACAAAGGTCTGTCTCACTCGGCTGGAGGACTCAGATCTGTCATGTGGTGCGGGGTGAACTTCTTCAAGGGTTACAAAAGAGGCTTAAACACTTCTTGTGCTCCAGCAGCTGTTTCCTGCCAGAATCCCCCCACCCACCCATACCTCTCCTCTCCTCCTCTCCCCTCTCTCTGGGTATAGAAAGCTGTGGGAGATATAGTTTCCATACACTCTGTCCACTACTGGGGACATATACATGGAGAATATTATGTGGTATTTCCAGAAAGTGAAAGCTTTAAGGGCTTTTTCTGCAACTGCACATATTTATTTTTGTTTCCATTTAGCCTCCATTATAGAATATATCACGTGTATCTTATCTAAGCCATGCTGACGTATTCTAATCGCTGTATTTGTTTAACCTTTAGCGCCTGATTGACAAAAGGAAAAGCTCAGTCATAGCAGATGTCACAGATGTCACAGACTGCTGGAATCAGTGCAGCTTACTCTTTACAGTGATACCAGTTTGTGTTGAGGATAAATGTCCATACAGCTGTGTAGAATTTCCTTTGAAAAAGAGATGATACACAGGCATGGCTGATATTATCTCATAGCTTATGAACAATATTTCGATCTTGGTGCACATTTTAGTCGACAAGTAACAAGAAATTGCAGGACAGATATGCCAAAGATATGTTAGTCTCCACTAGACCACAGATCTACCACTAATAACTTCACATAGAGACTTTAATGTTTTCTGTACTTTGATGGTTAAAATGCAAACTGGAACTATTGGTAGTTAATGCAGTGTGACTTTTACATGGTGCAGATTTTTAAGATGTGGACAACTTTAGGCAAAAACTACCAAATCGGAGCTTAGGTTTATTTCACAGCTACCCCAGGAAGAATAGCTGCTGTGATGCAGCAGCTATTAAATAAACAACCAAGTGGCTTAATGGAAACAGTGCTACCCAAACTTATTCCAGGGTTTCCCCCAGGAATTTAGTCAGCTGAGGTGTAATGCTACCCAGATCCTGACGCAACTTATCTAGTCACCAATTAAGTAAGTAAATGATGGCTAAAAAAATAACCACACAAATGTAATTGCTTTTGTTTTTCCCTGAAGGCTGATTTTATATCTTAATTTTTTTATGAGGTGCAGTCCTTGTTTCCAGCACTGTGGTCTACCTCTGCTATAAAACCCTGTGGTGGAAAACCCTGTGTTCATTACAAATAAAAAGGAGGGACCATGACATTCTGCTTCTATTTGCTCAACAATCAGCAGTTATAAAAAGGTCTTGGCTGAGCGTTGAAAACATACAGGCAAAAACCACAAACATATTCAAATTGGGTAAAAATATTAACATTAAAAAGTGTCCCAGTCCATGTAACAGATCTGAAATGCCAAATGCCATTTCTGGTGTTCAAATTCAAAAATGAATGAGTTGATAATGATGTAAAAGTACACCTATATATCGGTACACATTCCATTTAATGTCAGTTTCTCCCAAGTTGCAGGACTCCCCACACTGTTGCTGATTGGGATAAAAGCAGCTTCACAGTAATTGACCATGACACTTCCTTTTAGCCCAGAATTTGTCTCCATGTGTGGACTGAGCTTCTCAAATTCTCTCTAGTGAGACATCAGTCTGAAATAATGTTTGGTGCTTTTGGCAGGAATTCTCCTCCCTGTTTAAAAAATCAGAACCTCCCCCCACACAGTCTCCACAAACCTCCCCCAGTGCAGGTTACTCTCTGAGTTTAATGGGTAATGGGAGTTCTTTTCTCCTCCCCAGGGTTTGTACCAGGAAGTAACAGACCTGCGGTTCAGGGTGACTGACATAGAGAATGAAAGACTGCAGTGTGAGAAGAAACTCAAAACTACCAAAGTGAGTGTGTGTAGTTCACTGCCGCGGGATCATTCTTTTACATTTGACTTTGACGGAAGATCAGACCTGATGCATCATTACACGTTTAAAACCTTGTGATTTTCCTCCATGACGTTGTTTCTCTGCTCATTCTTCCCATCTTCACCTTTTTTTTTTTTTTTTTTTTTTTTTTACTCCTCCTCCTCCCCTCTCCTCTGTAATTTTAACATCTTTCTGCAACATGCTAACCTGTCAAGCGTCCAAAGTGGAACACTGAGCGGTTCACTGGAGACGAGGTGAACGAGGTTTAATCTCCAGCTTGTACTCTTCTCCTTTCTGGCCCTTAAGATCCTCTAAACCTGCTCCTTCTCCACTGCTGCACACTGCTTTCCTGACTTTCACCACACTTGCTGTAAGTGCTTCCACCTGTGCTAGTTACAGGATTTGTACCAGGTTCAAATCCTCTATTAGCTTTTGTTTAATTTTTTTTTTTTTGTATTAACACCTGTTGTTATAAAGCATTTTACAGTGAATTTCTACAGTTGTAAAGGTACACATCTTTTTAACTGGTACATCTTCTTGATTTCAACTAAATAGATCCGTAATAAGTTGTGTAATTTGTGGCAGTATTACGTCTGTCCGGTTTTTCAATGTATCCACTGTTCTGCATGTCAACCATTTTGCACATGATAGGTTTAGTGAAACATATGATCTTGTTCTGAATCTCACAAGACGCCCACAGTGTGTTAACCACAGAACAGAGGTTTGAACTAACTAAACCACTTACTGACGTAGTGACTGACTAATTCTTACTAATGTTTTGTCAATGGGTCACTCACTGATTTTACACATGAAATTCACTTTACTCATTGCAAGAATTTTTTTGAAAACGGTTGTACGTCTTCTCTGGCTCTGTTGGAAACAAGACTAAGTGTCTGCAGCCGTGCTAGCAGCTCTGTGAAGCTGGACTTTGGCAAAGTGGTGCTTTGAGCTTAATGCTAATGTTAGCTTGCTAACATGCTCACAGGGCTAACATGCTGATGTTTAACAGGTATACTGTAATGCTTACACGGTTCTCCATCTTGGTTTAGCATGTCAGCACGCTATGCTGTGCTCATTAGCGCTAAACACAAAGTACAGCTGAGGCTGTTGGGAATGTCAGTAGTTTAGCGCGTAATTGGTCATAAACCGAAGTATTGGAGCATCACCAAAGTTATTATAGACATGAATGTGTAAAATTTCTGTATATGCCTTTTATGCTCAGTAATATGTGTCCCGACAATAAAAGCTCATAAATAAAAGCACAATTCAAAACTGATTCTCTCTGTCTACCCAAGTCTGACTCACAAATAAAGTGATGACTTAATGTCTCTCCTCTGTGACAGGAAGAGCTGCAGCTTCTGCAGAGGCAGCTGGAGGAGCGAGAGCTGGAGCTGAGGAGGCTGAAGGATGAGAGCAGACTGAAGGTGGAGGGCCACAACAGAGCTGAGGGAGGAGACAGAGGTGGGAGCTGTTTTTAATAATTGTCTGGAAGGTTCTTGTACGGTTTCATGCTGTCCAACTCTAATATTACAAAAGGGGTTTATGAGGATTAGACAAATAGACATTTCACATTCCAGCAACACCAGATCCCCCTCCAGCAGCTTCCCTGATGAAATATGTACTTTACTTTCATCTGGAGTTCTCTGTTAATTATTTTCCCTCTATCTTATATTTCACAGACAGTCTAAACTATATTGAGGTAATCTGAGGTCTTTTTTACTTAAACCCTTATCTGTGTGTCTGTAGACTCCGAACACCAAACATATCAGTTTTATTTCTTCCACCCACTGACCTTATCTTATCCTCTCGGATAGTAGAGGAATGCCATTTTATTTAAAGGGGAGTCTCTTCTACTGGTCTTCCTGTAAACACATGCTTTACAGTGTAACCTGCAGAGCTTCAGGTTTTAGTTTTGTCTTCCCGCTCATTGTACAGACATGAGGTGTTCAGACACTGACAGCATCAAACACGTAAAACTATTCACTGCACTTTAAGGAAGAGGCCAATTCCAACCACGAATTCAGATTTTGAAAATACATGGGTGGGGCTTTTGCGATATTGTTTATGAAGAGAAATTCAAGCGCACATACTCATTAGCAGTGGTCTTGAACCCAGGTGGGTGGTTAAGTTAAACTACAGTTTGCCCATCACAGAGGCCACCCTGTCTCACAGAGGGGGTTGGGTTGTGAAAGCTGCTTCCATTTCAGGCCCGGTTCTAAGTAAAAAATTTTGGTTTCTTTTGACCACTTGTTGTCAATCAGGCGCTGAATATATACACTCCTTTGAGACATTATCACCTTATACAGTTGTCTATGTACACACACAGCAGACACAGAAAAACATTAAAACTCGTTTAGAGTTGTGTCTCTGGCCGCCTGGGGCATCTAAGTCCAGTATTCACTCTCCTTTCAGCCCCTGTTTGGTCTCCCTCTGCTCCTGAGGGAAGTACCTGCCTCTTTAGCTGCTGAACGCATCAGAGTTTACTTGAGGCCAGATAAACCTGGTGTGGATTAGATTACCAAGTGGTTGGCATACTTTTAATTGTGTAGCACTCCTAAGTAAAAGACACAGAAGGTCCTTGTTTTTGATCATTTGTGGTGATAATTGAATCAATAGTTCATTGCAGCGAACAAGCTGAAATTAGAGCCCTGCTGACCAGCGCACTCAACCCCAGTGGCCTCATTATTTCTGGTTTCTGTGGCTGCTTTCAGAGCCGGGGGGAGCTGAAGGAAAACTAACCTTCCACAATTTTAAAGACTGTGTTTTTTTTTTTGTTTTTTTTTTCCCCCAGATACAGAAATGTTAAAGATGAAGAGGGTGTTGGAGACACTGACTTCAGCCAACAATGAAAAGGTACAGTGTGATGTGATGTGGCGATGTGTCATAAGCAGCAGCTGAGAAGCCGCTGTGATTGAAAGCGTCTCCACTGTAACGTCATGCGTGTTTCCTTACAGGAGAGAAGGATCAAAGAGCTGGAGGAGTCGCTTACCAAGTGCATGAAGGTGCAGGAGCTGGTCAAAGGTCAGACTGAGTTTAAAGAACATATTAATGTTACTCATGATTTAAAGATGTACTAATTATTATGTGTATCACTGTCACTATGTCAATAATGAATCATAACTGAGAGTTTTTGGGATTTTAAGTTAATTAGTCGCTGACTGAATATAAACCAGTAAGAATTTTGATAATCATTTCCGTCACTTTTTAAGATAAAAGAAAAGTAGAGTAAATTTTAGAGTAAGGAATTCACTGAAAAAGTAATTTGAAGATGATCAATAATGAAAATAGTCATTAGTTGCAGCCCCAGATGAAATGCTCACTAGTTATTTGGGTAGCAGATCACCTCCAAATAACTTCTGCTATCAAGAAAATAAACCTTAGGAAAGAGCCAGTTTTCATGTATTGCTCATCGTCCTGCTGCTCTTCCCTATGAAACATTCTTTGAATATATTTATAGCATGAAGGTTTATGGTGAACATAAAACAGGATAAACTGAGCTTGGGTGGGTCTTCACCCAAGTACATCCCCGCTCACTGTCCTCACTGTCCACTCTCAGAGAAGTTGAAGGAAGACGACTATGACGATATCCCAGATGATCCCTCGGTTCCTGCAGCCATGGAGGTGGATCAGGTCACCCTGGTGTTAGAGGGGGAGGCAGGAAGGAGCTCTGGCGAGGTAAACACAACCTCTGTCAAAACAATTCGCACACAGGATGAACCCCAGACTGTAGACTTCCTTCCACAAAAAAACTCAATTTCGGCCTTCCACTCTGAAATTGCTTCTCCCTGGAATTCAGAGCTTCTGTTCGGGTTATTATTGGTTGGACTTGGGTAAATGTTCTGCTGTTAATCATGTTTTCCTCTGTTGTTGTCTGTCATCTCAGTCTATTCCATGTATAGCAGTGCTCTCTGAGATGAATGAACTGGACAGAGAACGACAGTTACAGTCAGCAGAAAGGTAAAATTGTCTCTGAGCTTTAAATCAAATTATTGTTCCTATGTATTACTGAAATGCACAAAATATGAATCTAGTTGATGTTTTGGTAAAAGCTTGTTCAGACATTTCTAAAGTTAAGGTTTGTCACTGAAACATCAGCTGTAATTATTTTTGTAAGAAGATGGAGTGTGTGTGATACAGTTTGATTTCAATTGTTAAATTAACAAAAACAGTTACTCTAGTCACTGCAATAGTTTAAAAAACAAAACAAAAACAAAAAACTATTGTATTTTTTTGTCACTCCCTACATTACTCCAGCTGATTAGATGTCTGCTGCTTCCAACGGCCTTAACAGTCTGTACACGGAAGAAACACTCACATCCTGTTGGATCTGATCCTGATTTAATCAGATGTTATCAGACCAAACTCTTGTCTCCAATAATTGTTGTTTCAGTTATGTTCTTCTGTATAACAGGGTCGATTGTCAGCGTTTAAGGTTTGACTTCCATATTACTCAATTATTGATATGAGGCAGCCATCATACCAGTCTGCTGTGTATAGAAACCCAGACTTCACTGCTGGAAATGTCCCTCTAAAACTAAAGAAATTCAAAACATGAATCAATAGTCAAAATATTTACAACACTATTTATTTGGAGCACTTCAACATGAACTAAATATTTGTTTTCTTTCATGTTTTTCTGTCTTTTTCTGTCACTTCTCACATCAACAATGTGAGTTTTAATTATGTAGTTTGTCAGAAACTGAACAGTATTTCTAGTGTGTTTGATGTGGAGGATATTTCAACACTCTGAAGCCACTTGACTGAACACTTAAACGCTCCCTCTTTTTATTTCAGCTCGCCCACGTCCAGCAGCACTGATCAGGTAAGACCCTGCCGTCTCTGATGTGGACATGTTGAGTCTCCAGTGGACAGGTCGACTGACTTGAGTGTAAAATAACATCAGCCTGATAAGATCATATTGATTACAGGAGCATAAACACTCAGTGTTCATTAATTTTTCTTTTGAGTTGTCAATGTGAAGAGTGTGAATGATTGATTTGATTCTCCTGGTTTGGAGTGAGTGACCGCCAGAGTAGTTACAAGACCTATCAAAGGACACATGTCATGGTCTGTCCTGCTCTGACACCTACTGGTTAAATGGTGCAGTTACACTTTTTTCCTCTTCTGTTTGAATTTAAAAGTGAAACTTTTCTTCTCTCCTGTATTTTTCTTGTAGACCAGTAACAAAGCAGGACCTGGTTCCTCCCCCCCTGCTAAAGCAAACACCACAAGTGATGAGAGTTTTGGCACCAAGAAGGCCCGCACTTCTTTTGGCCGTGGATTCTTCAAGCTGCGTGGAGGCAAGCAGACAGCCAGTGCTCCAAACTTGGGTGAGCTTTACCAACTAGTTTTTTTCCTCTGGTGGTCAATTTTTTTCCCCACTGTGTGTTTTGTTTGATTACTGACTCTGATGTTTCTTCCATGGCTCTCTAAAGATCGCACCTGGAGTGTCAGTGCACCTGTGTTAGGTACAGTAGAGCAGAGTGGCCTTGTTGGCCTGCAGTATGGCTGCTCTGGATGATACAACTGGATGTGCATCTATACTACACTATACTATACTATGACTTTTTATGCCTTACTATACTATGACGTTTTTATGACTTTTTATGCCTTGCAATACTATGACGTTTTTATTGCTTTTTTATGCCTTACTATACTATGACTTTTTATGCCTTGCTATACTACGACGTTTTTATGACTTTTTATGCCTTACTATACTATGACTTTTTATGCCTTACTATACTCTGACGTTTTTATGATTTTTTATGCCTTGCTATACTATGACGTTTTTATGACTTTTTATGCCTT